GCATAATAGCCAGCAACGCACACGACAGGATTTTCGAGGCCCGAGTCGTCAGCCGCCGCCGCCGCCGCCACCTCCCGGCAGCTGATTGCTGAGTGCCTTGCTCCTTGCCCCCGATCGTGGCGACCTCTTTACTCTGGCAGAATCGACCCTACCGAGCGGCGACAGCATTCAGAAGCAAAATGACAAATGAATTCACTGCACTTATGTCAGAAAATCGACTGCACATGCCATGGTCACACGCGGTGCCGTCCACGGGGCCGGCAGAAGCTGCACACTGTCACCGAACACCACCTGCACCTTGGACGCAGTATGTGAGGGCTTGGCGGACGCGCGCCGCCTCGCGTGCGGTATTGGCATCAAGGCCCGGACACGAGGGAGCACACTCGGCGCAATCAGAGCACACCGTCCGGGGCCGTCAGTGTCGATCTCCTGACCTCACAGAAAGTTGTGCAGCACACAGGTGAACGCCGTCAGTGTGGTGACTGGTGCGCAGCACACCGTCCCACGGAAGATCGTCTGTGGGCCGTGGTGCAGATGCTGTCTCTAGGCAGAGTCAACGGCAGAAGTTGAACATTCAGCTGCTAGACTCCTTTTCGGGTCAGCAATGCCGTCGAGTTGGCCATCAGGTGGTGTTGCAGAATCATCAGGTACTCTTGATCAGGTACATCAGGTACAGAACCTCTTGACTCATCAGGTAACGCTGTGACTTGTCTGCCAGGCACAGAGGGCGGACATGTCAGAACATACCTCAAATACATTTTTAAAAATCATTTTTTAACCAAAAGCTCTGCAAATTAGGAAGCCTGGAATAGGCTATTGCTTAGCATCATAAAAACTACCCAAATACCCAAATCAGGTTAGGCTTGGTTTACCCAAATACCCAAATCAGGTTAGGTTTGGTTTTTACACTTCAGGCTAAAATGAGAACTATCTTAGCATCATTATCCTTGATGTAGCATTGTTGATGCTTTTTGTCTTGTACAATTGGCAATCAGTATTCAGTGACACAGAATTGGAATTTGTGGTTCAGAAACCTAGCATTATTTGAAATAATAGCATTTTAGCAGTGCTCATTCTTTTTGAAAGCAATTGTATTTTTTAATATAATTTTCTAGGTAATTCAATTCCTACTGAATATGGTTATGAGACCATTGTTACTAATTTTGGTATTATTAAGGCAGCTGTAGCATGAGTGGCCATATGCTGTAGAGACTGGAGTGATTAAAGTCACTAGAGGCTTGAGGGTTTTTTTAGACATTATGCAGCAGCCTGCAGGGAGATATGCAGAGGCAAGTCTAGGCACCACCAGAAGGGGGACAAGCAGTCAGCACAACACACAGCGGGCACAAGGGGAGAAGATTGTAAAAACTATTGCCTGGATCCACCTCTGTGGACATCCTCAGGCATGCCTCTGTGGACATCTCGGCTGCTGCATGTAAAAAAGTATCAAGCCTCTAGTGACTTTTTCCACACTGCAGCAAATGCCCGCTTATTCTTGGTCTGCTCTACCTTCCTCCAATTATGAGTTTTGTGTGAAAATGACATTTTTACATTGGTGGAGCTTGTGTGCGCATGGTACACATAACCCAGGTGAAAAAATCTTACAAGATTGTCAGGCATTATTATGCAAGACAATCTTGCAAGAAATTGGCCCACTTTCTTGTAAGATATTGTGTATGAATCTTGCATGTCTTGTACAAGATTCTTGTAAATCTTTTACAAGAATCTTGCACATCTTATACAAGATTCTTATAAATCTTGTGCAAGAATCTTGCAAGTCTGGTAAAAGATTCTTGTAAATCTTTTACAAGAATCTTGCACTTCTTATACAAGATTCTTATAAATCTTGTGCAAGAATCTTGCAAGTCTGGTGCAAGATTCTTGCAAATCTTTTACAAGAATCTTGCACATCTTATACAAGATTCTAATAAATCTTGTGCAAGAATCTTGCAAGTCTGGTGCAAGATTCTTGCAAATCTTTTACAAGAATCTTGCACATCTTATACAAGATTCTTATAAAGAATCTTGCTGGTCTGGTACAAGATTCTTGCATGTCTTGCACAAGGCTCTTGCAAGAGTCTTGTAAGACTTTACGTGTACTGTATAAGAATCTTGCAGGAGTCTTGTACAAGACTCTTGCATGTCTTGTACAAAGCTTTTGCTAGAGTCTTACCAGACTGTCGCAAGAGTATTGTACAAGACTTCAACAAGTTTTGTACCAGACTCTTGCAAACCTTCTACAAGGCTTGCTAAGACTCTGACAAATCTTCAGCAAGACTTGGAAGTCTTATCGAAGACTTGCAAGCCTTGTGCAAGACTTCCAGACACATCGTTGCCCTAAGATATTGTTTCGATTGTATTCATGTCGAGACCCATGTGTACGAAATCCGCAAAGTGAAATGGATAATATGCCAGCGTAAACGTCAAAATCAATATATATTCATAAAAAATGTATAGCTGAGAATGCACATATGAACAGCCCTTTACTTTTCGAGTCATCCACACGTCACAGTCACATCACACCATCACACCGTTGACGTCACGTCATGTCACGATTGTCGAGGCCGACGTTCCGTCTGCATCCAGCTATACTCGTACACATCTTGAGCGAGGATGTCGCCCGTCGAGCCTTGCATCGCATATTATTGGTGAGCCGAGATTCTCGAATGCTGAAATGAAATGCCATTATATAATCAGGTAATATCCAAAGCCAGATGTGAAAAGGTGAGCCAGTACCTCTCAGTCAAAAACTAGAATTGATGGGGCTCATTTTCGATTAAAGATAATTCAGCATATCATAGCTATCATCCTCACGTATCTACTATCCCTGGGCCCAGTTTCACCGTATGACGTTACCGTCAGCACTATTCCCTTTGTGGCATGCACAAGAATGACAGGCGATCAGCTATTTTTGAGTGAACGTTTCGGGGCTTTTTCTGTAATGCTGAAAATATTGAGAATATTGTTACACAGCAATACAGCATGGCAGAACCTTACCTTTAGGTCGGAAGAGGAGACGGCAGACGACACCAACACCGCACGGCACACACTCGACACCCCCGTCAGCCGTCCGCACATCGCGAGCGGGCAGTGAATGGGACGGATGGAATGCGGCGGAGGGGGGCGCGCGCGACGCGCGCTCCCCTCTCCGGCGTCTCCGGCCTTCGCCCCAGGCGAGGATCGGGACTGGGAGGGGACGCCCGCCGCCGACCGTACGGTCTCTAAAACGGTCAGCGGTCGCTAAATTCCAGTCGGTACAGTCTCCAAAGATCACCACTGCGCACAAATGCACGCTCAAGTCCCCGAATAATACAATACAGTAATGCGTCAAATTAAGCTGAGAATGTTATGAAGGGATTTGGGAGTTATGAAGTGAATCGATTCTTTTATAGGGATCAATTCACAATTCGTAATTCCCTATATATCGGGACAATGTTGACAACAACATTCGAATGTTGATGTCCCGCCAGTTCTAATAATGAGATGTGACGTCCTGAGGACTAGGTGAATAAATCCCGGTAGGTTGCAGATTGAGAAGAAATGTCCAGTCCAACTTATCAACGCACCGGGGCGAGGCATTTCTCCCAATCCCAAGGTACTCCTCATACTTTAGTATGAGGCTTATCAATGGTCATGACCGATCAGCGAGCTGTAAAAAAATCTTACAAGTATGAAGTAACCAACAGACTTGCCAGAATCTTGCAAGAAAGATTCTTGCAAGGAAACCACCGCATTCTTACAAGACTCTTGCAAGATTGGGACAGTCTTGTACAAGATTCCCTAGGTCTTGCAAGACTGTCCTCAGAATCATATAAGATCTTGCAAGATCGAGAAGATTCTTGCAAGATCTTGTAAGATTTTTTCACCTGGGAAGCCATGCCGGCAGCATTGCTGCAATGAATAGGAAACAGCTCCAGGGCCAAAATACATACCACCTAATACCTTGCCAAAATACATGACATACCTACCACCTACTGTGCATAATGCAATTATTTATGTACTAATAAGCCATGGATTATCATTTGCCATGTGAGCACGCACACACATGCGAACCCAATGCGGATTAAGTTTGGCCTGGGTTGTTTATCCATGGTACCAAGGAAAACTCCAGCAGAAACAATAACAAAATTGCAAAGCTACCTGTTTGATTTTGATCATGCTAATTAATGAGCAGCAATATAATATTTTGTTGCTATCAAATATTTCCTTGTGTCGCACGAATAGGTAGGCAAATAGCTGACTGATAGGTAGGCACTTTGTCCTCAAGGGCACTGATACTGAATGTAAACAATGTTCTTGTGACACAACAAGCAAGTTTTCATTACCTTATGAAACTAGTGTCAATTTCAATGTCATTAAAATATTCAATTTTGATGAAAAAATGCATATTTATCACAAATAAAAATCATGGGTGATCATGGGCAAGTGCGCCACAAATGACATAAACCCTCCAATATTGTCGAATCAAGCTTAAATTCAAGTCACAACAGCTTCACGACAGGCAAACTACAAGATAATAATCCCTATGCTACTGTGCAACAAATTTAAGGTAGCCACACCAACCAAAAATGCATCACAAATCACCTAAACCACTCACCAAGGACAAAACTGTCATGGCGGCGTCCGCTGCTCGAGAAGAGTCGCCGGCGACTGGCCTGTGACGCGGATCTGACGTCACCAGTTGCTGGCGATTGCCCGGCCGTGGCCCGGCGATCGCCACCGACTTGCTTACGTCATACCTACGTCACACACGATCGTTGGCTGGCGGTCGCTGGCGGTCGCCGGCGACTGCTGCTGTCGCCGGCGACTGAAAAGTTGCTACGTGTGAAAGGGCCATATGATTCATGCGTCATCATTCTCACACCCTGTGCGGGGCTGCACTAGCAGTTCCCGTACGAGCCAAGAGATGGCGGCACCGGCCGCGTTTGGCCCGGTGCCAAGCGCGCCAATAAACGGGCAGCGCAGTAGTCTGCTCCGACCTGTATTTAGGGCCTTGCTCCGACCTACGGACGTGTCTGCATCTGTGTGAGTGCCGCGCGCGTCGGAAGCAGTGCAGGTCCGGCCATGACCGACGAGGGGTCTGGCCGAGACCCGAACATGGCGCAGCCGACTGCTAATCCGAGTGCGACTCCCATAGCCGCGATGCTGCCGAGGCTCGCGCCACCGCGACTCGATTTGTCAACCGACCGTGGTGAGTCCTTCCGGGCATGGCGGGCCCGATGGGACGATTTCGCACTGCTGTCGGGCCTCGCTGCCCAGCCGCCCGCGGTGCAAATGGCAGTGCTCCGCTCGTGCGTGTCGGACGAGGCGGTAAAGGTGATTGCGAATTTCGCACTATCCGCCTCCGACCGCACCGATCTCGCCGTGGTGCTGAGCCACCTGGAGGCCCACGCCGTGGGTCAAGTCAACCCAGTACTGCAGCGGCGAGCTTTTCACCTGCGGTGTCAGCACGAGGGAGAGTCGTTTGACGATTTTTTGACGGCCTTGCGTGACCTTAGCCGCTCATGTGGATTTTGCGACGACTGCGGTGAATCCCTGTTGCGCGACCGCGTGGTCGTCGGCCTCCGCGACCCAGAGACTGTGCGCAAGCTGTGTGCTATACCGAACCTAAGCCTAACTGAGGCCGTTCGCGTGTGCCGCGCTGAAGAAACTTCGTCCCGGGCCGTTGAGGACATTGTGGGGGTCAGCGTCGCCGCGTGCCGCGCCCCGGCTGGAGCCCGGCGCGGGCGCCGCCAACATGGCGGCTTCGGCGGCCAGTCGGCCGGCCGGTTTCAAGATGGCGGCCGCCAGGTGGCCGCCGCGTGTGGAAAATGCGGACGGGGCGCGCATCGACGAGACGGCGAGTGCCCGGCGCGTGGCCGCCGGTGCTACAGATGCGGCTCCTCCGGACACTTTTCAATCGTGTGCCGCTCGCAGGAAGCCCCAGACCGCCGCGGCGAAAAAACTGCATCGGCAGTTACCGTGGCCTCTCTTTCCCGCGGCACAGTGAGCGGGCCGAGACTCGGGTCCAAGCAGTACCCGCAGCAGCTGCCGGCGCGGGCTCCGGCTGTGTGCCGCACCAGCGCAGGCGACCGAACCAGTCCAGTGACCTCTCCGCCACCAGTGCCTCCGAGATCGGCGACTTCAACGCCAGACCAAGCGAGCACCCGAGCAGCAGTGCCGCCTTCAGTGACTCGGCGCCCGACGCGGCCGGTGCCCTTCCGGGCAGGGCCGCCGCACAGCGAGCGGCCGGTGGCCGGCGAGCCGCCGGTGGCCGGCGAGCCGCCGGCGCCCCTCAGCGCACGACCGGCGATGCCGAGGTCCGAACCGGGATCCTCCCCGCCACCCGTGCCCCCGAGATCGGCGACTTCGACGCCCGACCAAGTGGGCACCCGAGCGGCAGCGCCGCCCTCAGTGCCGCCGAGACCAACGGCGGTGGTGCCCCACCGAGCAGGGCCGCCGCACAGCGAGCGGCCGGCGACCGGCGAGCGGCCGGCGCCCTCCAGCACGCGGCCGGTGCCACCCAGCACGCGGCCGGTGCCCTCCAGTACGCGGCCGGTGCCGCCCAGCACGCGGCCGGTGCCCTCCAGTACGCGGCCGGTGCCGCCCAGCACGCGGCCGGTGCCACCCAGCACGCGGCCGGTGCCACCCAGCACGCGGCCGGTGCCACGCAGCACGCGGCCGGTGCCACCCAGCACGCGGCCGGTGCACCTCAGCGCGCGACCGGCGCGCCACGAGCGGCCGGCGCCACCCAGAGCGCGACCGGCGCCCGGCGAGCAGCCGGAGTGCGTCCTCTCAGGATCTCCGCTCGCCGCCGACCTCGAGCTGGCCGAGGACGATCCGGCCATCTCCGTTTCTCCCGTCGCTCTCGACGAGGCACCGACACGGCCGTTCCAGCACCAGTGTGCCGACCTTTAAGAGGACTCTCGCCGGTACTTTCTGGTAGCGGTCGACCCCTTCTCAGGGTGGCAAGTTGTGCGCTCGCTCAGCAAGACCGCCACTACTGCCCAGCTCAAGCAGGAGCTGCGCAGCATTTTTCGCGTGGCCCCCGAGGGGTTCTGGTCGGCAGGCAGCTCTCAGAACCGCCCGCCACGCCACCGTCGCCACCGCCGCCGGTGCTCCAGCGCCGCTACGAGCGCGACCGGCGCCGACCTCTGGGCCTGACTGATCGCCGAGTGTCGGCTGTCTGATCTGACGCCGACATAGGGGTGGGAGAGTGAGTGTGTGCTCCATCCTACCGTGATTATCGCCGTTTCGGAATGAGCGGCGACACTCGTGAGTCGTTTGTGTGTGACACGCCGTACTTTCTTTCGAACCGAGTTTCATGTAACACGCTGTCCTATCTCCGAGCCATGTGGACCGATCGATTCTCGATGCGCTTCGCTGCTCCATATAAAAGCAGCGGCGACACGAGCGCGCACACACTCTGTCTCTCAGTCGGACACTCGTCACTGGACTCTACTGGTGGCGGTACACCGCGTGGGTCGCCGGACCATTCGGTCCGGGACATTCGTCCCGGACGTCAAGACACTTAGGGACTACGCATTCGTTCACTCACGCTGGAGGACTGTCAGTCATTCGCGGTGTGTGATCGTTCGATGTGAGAATCGCCGTCGATACCGGGCTGACTGGTCGGCTTCTTGACCCCCCCTGCGACCGACAACTATCATGTAAGTCCGGCAGCGCGTCGCCGGTCATTCGGCGGCATTAGATTCTCCAGCCTATCGAATGCTTTATTTTTGGCCCACTAACTTAAAATCTGAACCTGTCAATTGATTCAAATATCTCGGTAAATGGTCACTTACTCGTGGAGTTCAGACTTCTGCATCATTTTTGTGTGCGTACTGTTAACGTCGTCATAAAGAGTTGTGCAAATCTCGTACCCACTATAACGCCTTCGCTTGCTCTGAAGTTAGTTTATGTCTGTGTGCATTCACGTGTGTATGACGCGGATTGTGCATGTCAAATATGTCGTGCTCCCACTGCCACCCCTACTCCCTCCTCCTGCAATTAGCACGTAACACACAATATAACCCACTGTCGAAACTAGACTATGATGGTGAATGAGGGGCTATAACGAAAGGGGAACGATCGAAGCGATGGGTTGACGAGGTCGGGTAGATGAGTAGAGTAGAACGGGGTTCGGAAATTGTGGTCTATAATTGGGTAGCAAGGCTAACAAATGATATATCTTGGTCAAATATCAAGGGGCGTAGGTCGATTTGAGCGTTGAGGATCTGGGGGTTGTCCTTTTATTACTTTGCTATTAACCTGCCGTCATTAGCTCATATTAACGCTTGGATGACGTCAACTGACAATACCAGATAAATTCAGTAATCAACATCTTGTTAAAAAAAAAAAAATCTTCAGAGCTCAGCATGCCATTTGACGGTAGTCCTCCTGTATGCAGTCGCAATAATCCGGATAGTTGTTACTTGCTAGTAGGTCTCAGTTCGCTTATTCATCAGTTACAGCTCAAGGAGGTCCAAAATGGAACACCTTTCACGCATTCAATGTTTTGCGGCTGAACGTTTTGCCTTCTATTTCATATAATGCGGCATGGTTAAGTGCGGAGTACGTTGGGTTCCAACCTTACTAGAATTCTCGGTAAAGGCACGTTTTCTAGATGAAACCCAGGCATGGAAAACGCATGATCAGGAACAGATATAGTGTCTAGTTTTATTACTAGTTAACTTCCCCTTAAAACGTAAAGCGACGCCAGCTTTAATTTTGTGATGAATGCTACATTTCGGTACAGTAGCTCTCAGCAGTGAAATTGATGCCAAAGGGGCATTACGTAGAAGTCAATTTATTCTATTGTCAACCTGTTCTGTTGTCTTTGTTGAAGAACCCTCCTATTGTCATTCAGTGTGACTGGTAGATTTGGTTAACTACGTCAATATAACTTTGCCTAATTCAGTAAAACTCCAGACGCGCCGTTCACCCAATTAGTCGCAGCCGCTTAGTTTCGGGAACGCCGTATCATTATCATTTAGTAACGTCCTATACTTGCTTAAGGACTGTTCACCTAATTGACATTCAGTGCGTCTGGCACATTTGGTAAACTACGTCAATATCACTCCGCCAAACTCAACAGAATTCCAGGCGCGCCGGTTCGCCTATTTAGCGTCAGCCATTTGGTGGGGGACGCCGCATCGTTATCATTCATGTAAATTGTAAGTGCAGCAGATAACCGAACGATTTTGGGACCAAGTCAATAAGATAAACAATCATTGTCAGTTGGCTCCATTCCTCTATTCAGCGACTAATTTACGGGACAACAATTGTAGTGGTTAAGAGAGACGTAACGGCCTGGCGTTACACCGGCCGCCCTTACCAGGAAAATAGTTCAGTCGTTACCATTATATCGAATAGGGTAGATCATTACTACAAATAGTCAATATTGGCATCATGCCCTGCACCAGTGAGAGCTGCGACGAGTACACTTCTAGGACACATGTAATAGTGTGTGACGCTTATTTACTGTAAAGTTTCTACAGCACCAGCCCAGATCTCCCGACTGCTCTGTGAGCGCTGGGTTTACTGCCCCCATAAATGAGACAGCGACGGCTGGCCATGCGTGGCCGTAATTACCTCTCCATGGAAGCGAGCTGAAGCGTGTTGGTACGGTATACACAATCGACTGGATTACACTTTTTCAATTGTCGGGGAATGAGAAATAAGTGCTGTCCTCCCTGTCCTGGTCAAGGTAGTGCAATTTTACTCAAGGCAGTGTTGGTCGTTGCATGGAGATACCACTTGCATGCATCCACACATTTTCGAATGATTGGAGACGTGCTATTGGCTGGCTGAAGGTCAGATCCAGTCTGGGGCCCGTACTGTCGTGAGCCGGCAGTGAAACGGGCCAGCGTCGTTGTTTGATTGCCTGTGCTGCCGCTGGTGAGGGGCGGCGGTACAGTGTGCGTGTCTCATTCACTGGCCCAGACGGGGGTGAGGATACGTTGACGCCGTTGTTGGATATTCCGGGTGCGTCCCGCGGTTATCATTCCGGGTACGTCCCGCGGTATCATTCATTCCGGGTGCGTCCCGCGGTGTCATTCATTCCGGGTACGTCCCGCGGTATCATTCGTTCCGGGTGCGTCCCGCGGTATCATTCATTCCGGGTACGTCCCGCGGTATCATTCATTCCGGGTACGTCCCGCGGTATCATTCATTCCGGGTACGTCCCGCGGTATCATTCATTCCGGGTGCGTCCCGCGGTATCATTCATTCCGGGTACGTCCCGCGGTATCATTCATTCCGGGTACGTCCCGCGGTATCATTCATTCAGGGTACGTCCCGCGGTATCATTCATTCCGGGTGCGTCCCGCGGTATCATCCATTCCGGGTATGTCCCGCGGTATCATTCATTCCGGGTACGTCCCGCGGTATCAGTCTTTCCGGGTGCGTCCCGCGGTATCATTCATTCCGGTCACGTCCCGCGTGGTTAGAGTTCCGTGATCCGCAATAGGTCACGACAAAGGGGTATCGCATGTAACGGGGCTATATGGTGGTGCCATAATTAGCCGCATGGAGAGCGCTACTAATTTCTGGGATCCACTTCCGCAGTATGGTTGCTGTGTGAATGTGGTTATTACTAGCTCGTCCCGGAAGCTCCTAATTGCCTTCAGAGTAGGCCAACTCTGTCGTCAATTTTGGCCATAGGCTGCTTTCAGGATGACCTAAATAATGAGCGAAAGGTGTATACATGCAATAATGTCAGTTGCGGAAGCCCAGAGATAATGACGCTAGCTGCCCATCCCGACCATTAAACACTTGCCAAAAAGTCAGATGAACTACCCTTGATCGATATTGTTTATGACCGCTCTGAGTGGGCCTGTATTGCCCGGGCGTGTCCACCAGTCGCACAGCATCACCAGCTGCTCGTTTATGACGCTGAACAGTGAAATCGATACGCAATCCCAGAGAGAATAGCACGGCTCTCAGTACAGCCGACCGACAGTGTGCAGGTGCCACTGCACTCATCGCTTGGTAACAATCCAAATCGGTAATAGTTTTACAGCCGCGCCGAGCCGCGCGCGCCGCAGGACCGGCGAGGCGTCATTTTATTGTGATTGTTGTCTCGTTCCACCCAGTAGAGAATTGACAAGCGTCACCACACGTACTTGACCGATACAACTTTAGCTCGGAACGAACGAATTATTAACTTGCCTTTAGCCTGTTCTCTCCGCGCGTCTAACAAAGTCTCATCAGGTCACCAAAGTCGACAAGTTTCGAGAGGAAACCGGTACTTGGACAAGTGTGGCCGTGATCACTCGTCGTGTCCGCTAGCCGTTTTATGGCATGAACGCCGAATCGATAGTTGTCGAAACTAAACAGCCTCCTCTCTCTCTCCCTCTCTCTCTCTCTCTCTCTCTCTCTCTCTCCCTCTCTCCCACTCTCTCTCTCTCTCTCTCCCTCTCTCCCACTCTCTCTCTCTCTCTCCCTCTCTCTCTCTCTCTCCCCCTCTCTCCCACCCCACTCTCTCTCTCTCTCCCTCTCTCTCTCTCTCTCTCTCTCTCTCTCTCTCTCTCTCTCTCTCTCTCTCTCACTCACTCACTCACTCTTATTCTCTCTCTTTCACTCTCCCTCTCTCTCCCTCCCTCTGTCTTCACAGTTCCGTAACGTGCTTGTAGCGGAACAGTAAATGGGGCTATTGAGTTTTCCTGGCATTATTGGTGCGCTTTGTTTGGTTTAATTTACCAATGATGCGTAGGCACTGAACGTTTACCGAGATATGAGAGTGCAAATTGACACAATTCAGACTTTAACAAAATTAGTCAGTCACGACAGCTTGTTGCTTTTATGCATTTTGGGCTTTGGGAATCTAAACTGCTTAATGATCTGCCGACAAACTGACGGGCGAGCGTGAGAGGCGTTACGCGGCGGCGATGATGTCGAACAAAGAAAACAGGAAG